AATCTAAGAAAATAAATGGAACATATCTAATTATCCATCTAAAATGGCACTTAAATTGTATGAAATTATTCGATTTCAAAGATTATAATACCTCTACAACTTATCCTAAAACATTAGGTCTAATATTCCCATTCATATTTAAATTTTTAAATAATCCACTAATAGGTCTTTCACCGCCCAGATCAGGTGAAAGAACTCTGGTGTTAAAACCTAAAGTTTTATTATCAGAACTTATTATGGATCCATCTATAGTTCCCTTTGTAGGCTGATAATGACTCAGTGAATCAACATTTCTGAACGATCCATTAAGACCGCTGGGATTTTTTGAAGTATATTGGTTGTTAGCTACAAAACTATTATCGAGGCTTCTTATGGATCCATTGGGACTGTTTGGATTTTTTGAAGCATATTGGTTGTTAGTTACAAAACCAATATCATTTCTGATAGATCCATTAGGACTATTTGGATTCTTTGAAGAATATTGGTTGTTAGCTACAAAACTATTATCATGTCTAAATAACTGAGTATTATTTAACGAATCAAATCTTTGTAGAGGTATTCCATTCTGTATAAACAACATATTGTTTTGACTCAAAACAGGATAAAAAATGTTATTGTCAGCTTTGTAATACAGCTGAGAGGTCTTGGTTGTATTCAAATTTGGACTTATTGGAGAAAAATTGTAGAGTGGTTCTGAAAGTACAGAAACCCTATCTACATCACCATTCAATGAAGCTTCCCTAGATCCTGGTAATGACCTAAAAGGACTGTTAATATCTTGTGCAGGATTCGATACAAATCCAGATGTTTGACTAGATGACCTGCTCATATTAGTAGGGTTTATAACAGCTGAGAGAACATGGTTCTCATTTTTCCAAAATCCCCCTGCAGTCCATGGATTTTGAGTAATATTTTTGAGTTTTGCAGGAGATACAACTGGCCTTTTGGCAGAATTTACTGAAAATATGGGTGAAGTACAGCGCTGAGGGTTAACGTTTAAATGTAAATTATCTAAACTACGATTTAAGTCACTTGAAATATTTGAATTAAAAAATTCTGAGGTAGAAGTTACACTTTTGGCAGTGCTGAAACTATTATTTAAAATCTGGTCATCAGATGAACACATGTAGAGGTTATTGGAAGTCGGTGGTCTTGCTTGAAGATTCAAAGGACGGAGAATATGTTCATCTCTTTCATCCTCCGATGTCTCTAAGCTTTCTGTGGGTTTTACTATCTTCTTGAATTGGAATTCTTTACTATTATGTGCTTGTTCCAAATGAGTGGACCAAATGTAGTTGTACAACAGAGTTAACAATGTACAGACCTAAAAAATTATTGGTACAAATATTTACGAGCATTTACTTAAAAATAAATACAATCATGAGAACGAAATCTATTCATTCCGATATTTTCTGTATAATAGCAAAACTGCTGATTAAAATGACTTATTTTTCTCATTTATATTTTAGGATTTAGGATTAGCATACTTTTTAATTTAGTCGCACCTTATAACCTAGTCTTTGTGAACAGTGGTAAGAGCGTAATAAGAGTTTCTATTAAAAAAATTCTTTTTTGTCAAATTGAGATCCACTTGAGGTAAATCAGTCATTAGAATATAATAAGTGATTCTTTATAAATATAATGAAGCCGACTTTACTTAGTAACAAGACAATTACTCATCATACAACATGTACAATAAGCCAATTGGCTGTAGTACAACCGGTTTATACCGGTATTACGTAAGAAAACATCTTGCAGAATACTTAAGTAGATTTCAAAAAACTTGCTTGCTCTTATGGACCTTCCACACTTTTGACCTGAAAGAGCTTTCGTATACTCTCTATATCATGTTTTAGTCCAAAAGATATACACTGTAAAATCCTATTATCCATTTTGGAGCTATGTTTGTTATTTTAGCAGGTTACTCAGCAATACATCTACAATAAGCAAATTGGCTGTAATACAACCGATTTATACCGGCATTCCGCAAAAAAACACCTTGCAAAACACTTAAGTAGATTTCAACAGTTTCTTGATCTTATAGACGTTCCATACATTCGACCTGAAAGATCTTTTGTATACACTCTACATCATGTCTTAGTCCAAAAGATATACACTGTAAAATCCTATTATCCATTTTGGAGCTATGTTTGTTATTTGAGCAGGTTACTCAACATACAACATCTACAATAAGCAAATTGGCTGTATGCTGATTTATACCGGCATTCCGTAAAAAAACACCTTGCAGATTACTTAAGTAGATTTCAAAAGAGTTACTTGATCCTGTAGACCTTCCACACTTTCGACCTCAAAGATCTTTTGTATACACTCTACATCATGTCTTAGTTCAAAATATATAGACTTTTAAAATCCTATTATCCATTTTGGAGCGATGTTTGTTATTTGAGCAGGTTCTAAAAGAATCTATTCATTTACGGCATTTGTAAACAATTATCCTGCAGTTGCAGACAATGAAGAATGATTCTGGTCTAATAAAAGGAGTACTAGCTCCTTATTTTGTCAACAATATCATTACAAGCAATTCCTTTATGTCCTGGCACTCATTACAAAGTTACTTTGTTCTTCCCCAATGGTTGCTTAAGGGACTGTTTGTAGTTCTGATGCTATTACAGAGTTACAACTTGTAGATTTCAGTCTTTTTATTGCAGCTTGGCTATCAGAAGCAATATTTATTCTCAGAAGAAGGGAGTATGAAGGAGATAAATCGGGAATCATCGTACTTTCCATATGATGACCTCGAACAATCACCACCAAGGGAGATAGAACTTATTGACTGAAAGTCCGATACATCATACACAGTATGCATATCAAGCAAGCCTTTCTACGCAAACGACATTACGCCATCTCGTACAGAGAGTGGAGTACATTCTGGAAAGCTAAGAAGTCATGTTCAGTGTATTTCTTGATGGGGCAAGATTATTCACAACACTTCCTATGAAAAAATTGCACAGTCGATTCGTGTAAAAATGGCATGGGGGACTTATCGTAAGGGGAGTCTTATCTCCTCCTGGTCATCTTAGCCCAAACAAATTTAATAGCGCACAGTCAGAGATACAATGCAACAGGCTATGAGTGCAGTTACAGGATGAGTGAAATAAAGTACCTTGGGGTGATATTAGACTCGAGGCCTATGGCTTACTTGGAATCAGCAGATAAAATGAATAACAAAGAGAGTGGTAACTACGTTAATGGTAGCCAGAAAATGTGTAGTTTTATACCATACATGCTACAGTTACATATGGATCAGTGGTATAGTGGACAAAGGACCAGCAAAAAAGTGCCATCCACAAACTAAGCAAGGTGAAAAGACTTGCTTCAAAGCGCATCAATTGCACTGATAGTAAAGCTGCCAAGGAGATTCTTAGAAACCCTAAGATGCACTCTATGCTAGTGTAGAAACCGAGAAGAACTCGGCAGATTGGCGGAACATAACAGTGTCTCACTGTGGAAAACAAGCAGGAATCAGGTGAGTCATAACAGAATTCTTTATTGGATACTCGCCAATCAAGGGACACCTGCCCACAATGAGGCTGTGTCATGTAGACTTGAGCATGTTTCATACAAAACTCATTTCACGTTGTTCCAAGAATTACGACGTCAGAACCACACAGCATTGCAAAAACATCAGAATAAGTGAGGAATTTTTAAAATGTCAACTATTTAAGAATACACTGGTCAATAATTCGATTTTTAAAATGAAAAAAATATTCACATTTTCAAAATTTCTTTTTTTACTTTTCAATAATATGGAAAACGAGATACGTTTATCCTCTACACCAACTATTCAGTTGTTTTGGTAATTTTTAACACAATCACCATATACAAAAAGAATTAGCTTTTAAAGCTATTAAACTGTATTGCATATGTACATATTTATAAATAGTTTCTTAAAGTTATATACTGGGTGTCATATTTTAAGCTGTGTTAGGGAAATTTGAACTCTAAGGTTAATGTTATGGATATGTGAAATAGAGTATAGACGTCAGTTTGTATAAATCGTATAAAGAGTATAGAAGTCAGTTTGTATAAATCGTGACGTGAAATTATTTTACTGTGAAAAATACTATAGTCAACCATATCGAGGCACTGTTAGACATTAGATCGCAGACAGACCCAAAGGTTATAACAATTTTTGGAGATCTCCAATTGACTCAAAAACATATGGTACCCGCTAAAATAGAATGAAAGATACTTATTAAGGTGTTTTTCTTTTAAGGAACTTCTGAGCACAAGAATCCATTTCCAATAATTCCATTTGATATATAGGGGTATTTTAAAGAGCTGTGGATAGTCTCGAGTTACCATTAATCCTTATGACAAGTCTATGTACTTTTGGTTCATCGGTATAATAAATGAGAGTATCTCTTCTAATTTGAATCTTCTCAAAGACTGTCAAAGACACACTCTTGTCTTGTAGTAAAGACAATACAACATTATGGTGTTGAATATCCAAAAATTGAGTAATGTTTAATAATCAAGCTTTTTAAGCAATCTTAAAAATAACCCAATCAATACCATATATTTATAATGCATCATATTTGACAGTTGTCAACAGCTGTACTTAGGTATTAAAATAGTGCCTTAATCAGTTTTTTTATTATTGAGAAAATACTTAGCTTCTCTCTTCCAGGTTCACAAATCTAGTGAAATAGATGAACTTTATAAACCTGGCATGCTTATTGCTGACCATATATAGAGAAACTAATTCTAACCCAATGCATCTTGAAAGCTCACAGTGTTTGACTACATTCTTCAATTATTCTGTTGTGATATTAGTAAGAGAGTTGTAGTTAATATTTTCTGGTAAGGGAAAAACAGCTATTTGTTACTCTAAATTTTCTTCTTGCCAAACAACTCTTGTGGAGTATATTTAAATTTTTCTGTTTCATTTAAACACCTTTAAAATACTGCATCTTTAAACATAAAAACCTAATTGACTTAATGCAAACATCCATCTTGAATATCAACAATAATATTGCTCACTTCATAAAAAAAATATATATAAATATCAACAAGGAGCTCACCTGTAGAAAAGAAATATATGTACCATACATATGGCTAAAAGTAATAGCCAATGTTGTAGACATGATTATCCAGCTAATTGAACAGTATATCTTCCAAATCAATGGTATTTTCTTTCCAAATGACAATATCAAATCAAAAATAAAACTTATAAAACTTACAACAGTCAATCTAGAAATATTAATCTTAATGTAATTGTTAAAATATGAGTTTAAATTGTATATTTCAGTGCTAAGTGCTGTCCAATGATTAGTAATTTCATTGTAATAATCCAGTATAATTGATTTGTAAGGACTGAACACTTGTGGTAGATATTTATTTATGTTAATTTGTGGATAAACGATTCTAATATGTAAAATATTGCAAACAATGTAGGCAGCAGAAATTATTAATGAAACTCTTAGAAATTTTAAGAAAATTGACTCATTGACTTGTTTAGATACTTTAGCTTGATTAAGATAAGCAAATCCTCTTCTTTTTAAGTCTTTTAGCCTGTTACCAAATAACCATGAATGTTTCCTATTTAAAGTGGTTTTTAATGTTTGATCACATTTTTTACACAGCTTATATGCTTTTTCCAGTTGTTTCCTAAAACAAAATATGTATATTAATTGTATGCATGTAATTAACTAATAATTTAGCATGTAAAAATGAGTTACCAAAGTATATGTATACAATACGCATTAGTAGTTCTTGCAATGTAAAAAAGAATGCCATATATGGACTATACATGTAGTAATGTACATGAAGTAGTAGATGTAAAACTAGAGAACAATAAGTGCAGCAGATTTTGAAACTAGTGAGCGTGTTGTCCGCTAGATAGACACAAATAAGGGGGCAAAAAACATATACATTGTTTGAAATTTCACTTGTTTCCCGTAATAATTATATGGAATTTTATGTGAGTGGTTTTAACTAAGATAATCTTCTGTCTAAAAATAATCATTTTTACTTATATGAGTGTATTTTTAAATCATAATTAGATACGAATTTTTATAATATGTATTGGTTAATCTTTGGGTTTGTGCTTTAGAATAACTGCATAAAAAAGCTCTTGAACTTTTCCTGATACAAGGGTTTCAGGAATTTAAAGGAGTTGCAGAAACTATAAAATTCTTTAGAGTCCTGATGACTCTTTGACTTCCTTAATTCCAGGAACTCATTTGCAAAAGGATATAAGAAACCAATCTTTGAGAACAATTATTCTTTTTTTAAGAAAAAAAAAGAACTAATTCAATTCCTATTTACACTGATAACACAACACAATAACTTGTGTTGTGTTAAAAATTTCCAAAATGTTGATTGTGGTCAGAGGATATAACTTGACTTATAATTTTTCACAAAATGCGATAGAGATATTGCTCTCAAAAATTCGACAAAGGTATGGTTTTAATAACAATCCAAATTCATTACAATTTTGAGCAGCAAAGAAGCAAATTCTAATGAGAAATGATATTACTTCCTCTCCTGTTGCCAATTGCATTGTTGTAAATAACATTGAAAATGAGCGAAATGTATTCCAAATATAGTGAAGAGGAAGGAAAAGAATATTCTTTGATAATGAAATAGAACCTGACATAGATCTGCCTACGGAGGAGTTGAACATTGTGTTGGCAGCAAATGACAAATCTAAATTACAGGATTGTATACTTTTTTATATGTGTGGATTTATTATTAGGAAAATTGTTCTTAAACTCAAATGTTTAGATTGTATTCAATGTTTATTTAAACCACAATCTGACAAAAGATACTTTTCAGGTTGTGGAAAACACAGAAAACACCTTGTTATTGGCAACTGGTGACTTCAAAAACATTTTGTGTGTGAATTAAGATAGTCAATAGTATTGTTCTTTCTTTAGTAAATAACCTTTCTCCAGACAATGTTTTCTCTTTATGCACTGAAGTAATAGACTTCAGTAGTCACCTTATCGAGCTTATCAAGATGGTTAGCCTTTATGCACTGGAAATACAGAGGACTGAAAGAGTAAATTCTACACCAAAAAGGCATGAACTAACTAAATATATCTTATTCAGTTATTCTTGAACTTTGCATAAATATATGTAAATTGTTTTGTTAATGCACCTACATTTGTAATATATAATACAAATAATAAATATCAAATTCAACAATGAACAATTTTTTTTCTCCTTTTTCTTAAAATTTATTTACCAAAATAATAAATTCACACTTAAAATTTACAAGCTTTAAGTTGATAAAGAAAGTCCCAAAATTCATTATTCAATGACAAGAATCATAAATAAAGCTAACATAAATGAGATCCTTTAAAATTTTCTTACATGCAGTCAAGTGTAATTTTCAAACTCTTGTCCCCTAATTTTCTTTTTTGAAAAAAAAAAAAATAGTGCTCTCTAGCTGGCTTTAATTCTGTTTTAATCCGATGATAGGGTGTTCAACCTATAGGTTACGTAATAGAACTCTATGATATGGACATATGTCATCATTTATTCATTTTTGGAAGAAATACATAAAGTAGGTAGATTTAGTAACATTTTTAATCAAATCAAATATCACAAAAAAAATAGTTTTTTAAGTAATAGTTATAGTTGGGGCAATTTTTATCTGAAAGACTCAATCTACAGCGATTTGTTTGTAAGTTTCTCTAGTTTTACGTATTGTGAACGTGAGCATCAGATTGCTTTATTAAATGGAACCTTTTTCTGTGAATTTCCGTCATAATTTGAAATATCAACACAGTAGGTAGCGGCATAATTTTGAATTTGAAAAAGAAAGGTCAGTCATGTTCCAGATAACTAACCCCTGCTAAAATCCTGATAGCTTTTTATTGAATACTGAAAATTTGAAGTGCATTCATTGAATTGCCCCATATGATTATTCCATAGCTTAAGTGTGAATGAAATAATGAAAATATGTCATTTTTAATGTTTCAAAGTTGTCAACCTTTGCTAATGGGAAAATAACAAATAATGAACTTATAAAATTAGCATATCAATTTTATAAGGCTGAATCAGCCCAACTATAATTTATTGCTAATTTATTACAAAAATAATAATGCTAATTAAACGCTGTTGATTGGTATATTAAAGGCTACCCCATCATCCACTAGCTCAAAACAAACTCCTGTAAAACCGAGATATCAGCCAAAAAGCTAACTGCAAGGAATTGATTGCTAAATTATTGCTGAAGTTTTAAGCCAAGAACCAATATATTGCTGCAACTGTTTCCTGTCTTCCTGTCCTTGCAGTGAACTTTCCAGTAACATTCATTGTTTTTATATCAACTTTTACATCATCCAGCAATCTTCATCTAGGCTTTCCTCTACACCTGGACATAGTGGTGTCCAGTTAGTTAGCCTTCTCAGTATATCTGAGTGTGGATGTCTCTGTATATGTCCTATCCATCTAAGTGAAGAGATTTTATGTATCTGACTATATTGCACTAAAGCACATATTAATATAAAAAATACTGAAAATTATTTCATAGATTATTCTATAATAATGTCTCATTTTAACATTACTACATTGAAGAACCTTAGGTTGAGAGCTGATATTAGCCAATGTACACTTAAACACAATACATAGAACTCGACACACTACACTCTTTTATATTCCTTTTCATAGGACTGATTATGCTGGTCATTTTCCCTTGTCGAGAATGCTCAGCTCTTGAAATGACCTCCTATTGGATCCTTTTTGCCCAAACAATAATGCTTTCAAAAGACAACTTAAGAATCTGACTATTAATCTAGATATGTGATACTTACTATGTGATACTGATACTTTTTTAAATTTTTTGTGATAATATGATATGTTTTAATGTACAAATTTTAACTGTTTACTTGTTTCTTTGTTATTGTTTTGATGTTTATTGTACATGATCTTTACTTTTTCTATTTGTTGAAATAAATAAATAAATAATTATTTTCTTCCTTTAATTCTTCTTTAATTTCGGCATGTTTTCATTCTTCTTTCTCCCTCTCTTGTTACATTGGTGCCTAGTATCATTCTTATTATTTTTCTTTCAAAATTCAGTAGGCTATCTTCTTCTTTCTTGTTAATAATCATTGTTTCCATCCCATATCTAACAAAAGGTCTTATATAGGTTCATTTTTGTTCTCTTACTTAGAGTCTTGCTTCTCAACAGGTTTCTATTCATTCCATATGCTTTTTTGCCTTTTAGAATTCTTTCCTCTGTTCTCTCTTTTCCATTTTTCCCTATTGCTACTCCCAAGTAGCTAAAGGTGGACAGTTTCAAATTTGTGGTTCTGTGTTATTAGATATTTCTGAGTTATGTCATATTTATTGTCATGTATTTTGTTTTGTGCTGATTTAATTCTAGCACTATTTTCTTTACTTCCTAATTTAATGTTTTAATTGCTCTTTAAAGTGTTTTCATCATCTTTACTATGATGACTAGATCATCTGCATATTATGCTATTAGTTGAAGTTGATCTGTAATAATGTTCTTGTTTATGAAGTTTGTCCTCCTTATTATTGTTTCAGGTTAAATAGTGTCGGGGAGATAGAGTCATCTTATTTTTACATTGATCTCCTTAGAAGTTGTTCCGTTAAAATTTATCTTTGCTGTGGTGGTCTTTAGACTTGACTCATTGTTATCATATCAATTTTTCTGGGATTCCAATATGCTTTATTTCTTTCATAATTTTCGTCCAGTTAATTGTATCAAAAGCGCTCTTAAAATCCATAAATATTATGTGCATTTCGATCTTGTATTCTCTAGATTTTTTAATTACTTGCTCTACTGTATGTATGGAATTAATTGTTGATGTTCCTGGTCTGAAACCATTCTGATATTCTTCTAATATTTATTCAGTGCATGATTTAAGTCTCATGTTTAGTATGTTTACTAGAATTTTCATGTTATATTTAATAGTGTCATTGCTCTGTAATTCTTGCACTCCTCCTGATCTTCTTTTTTATAGATAGGCACCATAACACCTCTATTCCAATCATCTGGTAGTGTGTTTTGTGTCCATATTTGTTGCATTAGCTTGTTTATTTCTTTATGTAATTCTCTTCCTCCATATTTTATTAGTTCCGCTATTTCATATTCTCCTGCTACTTTTCAATTTCAGAGGTTTTTTCAATTTCTTCTGTATGAATTTTTGTTTCGCCATTATATTATACTATTGGTCTTATTTCTTCATCGCAGTGTGTTTCCTCTGTAGTGAATAGATTTTTTCATAATATTCTTCCCATATTCTGTTTATATGTCTCTTCAAATATGGTTTCTTCTTTTTGCTTTGTTAGTCCTCTTATTTGGGCGTATTTCTTGTTACTTTTGCTGACTTATAAAAGTGCATGTTTTTGTATATTGTTACTTATAAATATTCTACTCTACTCTAAAGCACTTCCAATTCCCTATATATTAGTCTTTAAATTTTTAAATTAAGTTCAATACTTTATTTTATTTAAAGTAGAACTGTTGTTTTAGATTTTAATTTCTTTCTTTGCATAGTTTTTTTTTTGTGTCACATTTGTTGTGTTTCTCTCATCATAGCTTCTAAAACATGTCATCATTCCACTCAGCTGCTTGTGGACCCCTATCTTGCATTGCACCATTTACTTCTTTCTCTATTATCTTCTTGGTCTATTTATTCTTTAATTAGTGGGGATCCACGGAAATCTTCTCTTTGACCATCTTTGGTCATTCATCCTTTCAACATTTACCATACCATTTTAGCATTTTTCCACAGCTAAGAAATAAGTAGCCAGCTAAAAATATTGATTTTATAATGTAATTTTTTTTTAATAACTTACACCAACACTTAGAAAATATTAGACCAGATTATTTAAAAAATTAAAGACTATTGTATAGGAAATTGTAAGTTCTTTAAAACAATATCTTAATTGACCAGCATTGGCACTATAAAATATTGGGATGATTCTTACCCTGGCTTAGGGGTCAAAGTAAAATAATCAAGAATAACAAAAAATGTATTCTTTTAATCAAAAATTAATGTCAGTGGATTTTTGAAAAATGTTGTCACTGTTCCTAATAAAACCTATTTTGTTTTCATCTGACCACCCCTTATAATTATAAAATTAATGTTATAGAATTTTTAAGGAGTTGTTTGTACTCTGACAACATAGAAACACCATTAATGACATACAATGAACTTGAAAGGAAAGAGTGTATGTATGAGAGAACCACTGATAAATTAAAGTTCATTGTATTTTTTTTATTTTTTAATTCATGCTCTGATGTTTCTACAAGAAGTCTAAAAATCAAAAAAGGAAAATAAAAAAAAATCGAATATTTCTTTTGGATAAGAAACACATTTCTAAATAGTTTGTTTTTTCAAAAATTTGACAATTCCTGTAAGTATCTCTAATAGCATTCAAAAAATAACTTTGCAAGAAAATATTGAAGAAATTCACTGAAATAGGTTTTAATTTAAATTTAGATAAGAAAGTGGGAATAACATATATTTATACAATTATATATTTATTTAGATATAACTGAAATTAACAATACGATTGTTAAGTTTAGGTTTGAGACATTCATAATATAAGTAAGCTTGAGGTTTTTAACAAAATATAAGTAACAATAAAAAACACTACCTGAAATGTTCAACTTCAATGTCATAGTTATCTTCATTTATTGGGGTAAACTTGGCCAGTTGATAAATCTTCAGTTGTTGATTATTATTACAGTAAGTACACAACCCATTTTCATAATATTCAGTCTTTTGGCTAGTGAATTTAGTACCAGAAATATCATGTTGTGCTTTTATGACTTTATTGTAGCTCCCATCTTCCTTAAAACCATTATATTGGGTGCAATGAATGCATTCAAAACTATTTCTATCTTTATAAAGTACACTTGAACTGGTATTACAAAACCAACAATTCACTTTCGTGTAAAATTCATTTCTGTAAAATATAAATAAATATTACTTATAGCTCGTGTATACATTATAAATTCACTTACTTTTTCATGTAGTATATGGTTAACAAGAAAAAAGTTACTGGCAAAAATAGTGATACATAAAATACTATAAATAGAGGTGTTTCCAAATAAAACTGCATTGTAATCTATGTAAAATTAGGTGTGAACATTTAAAAAATAATCATAATCAACATTCAACCCTAACCGCACGTTTCTTGGCGGCCTCTTCAACTCCACATAACCTCAAATTATAAATTAAATTACTCCAAATTGTTGCTAATTTCATATCGGTCACAAATTAGGTATAAGAGACATTCCACCAAAACTAAGATATTTAGTAGAATCATTTTTCAACTTTACTATAATGGGAACTGGGGAGCTACTTTAACCTAATTTACTAAAACTATACTGCGGGCTATAGAGTCATCTTATTTTATTTAACAAATAAAGCGTTTACACTTACAGCTAAGTTAGTTTGCCACTGCAGATACTGAATGTTTTCTTTAACTACGATCACGCAAAAGCATTTAAATATTTAATGTATGTCACTGGTTGTATACTAAGCTGTTATGATTCACTTTAAGAGGTATACTCTTAAACTTTATACAGTATACAGTTAGTATGTTTCAAAGATGAGATACAAATTAATTTGCTCTCTATATGTTGGACTGCTTGTAGTCCATTGTGATGCTACTGCAGCTTACTATCCGGAGTTCCTTAGCCACTCGTGATCTTAGCAACCCGACCTTTGGTGCTATTTAGAATAAACAACCATGAAGTCTTTTTTAAAGAAATAATAACTGGGAATATGTTTAAGACCATTGCAATGAAAACGTCAACCTAAATATGAACATGACTAAAATGAAACAGTGAACTGGAAGACACAGTTTAGAGTTTAGTAGGTATATTACTGAATTCATTCAAAAGGATTGCTTATCTAGTTCATAAAAAAGCAGGTTGGAAAATACCAATAATTCAGTCATCATCATCATTCAGCCCATACTCGTCAACTGCTGAACATAGGCCTCCCGTAGTTCACCCCACAAATTTCTGTCCTGAGCCGCCTGAATCCAATTTTGATGTGTCCGTTTCAGGTCATCCGTCCATCTTGTTGGTGGTCGTCCTCTATTCCTAAAGGCATCTTGTCTGGGTCTCCACTCAAGAATGCGTTTTGTCCATCTGCCGTCCTTCGTTCTCGCGACGTGCCCTGCCCAGTTCCATTTTAAGGTTGATATTCTTTTGATTGCGTCGGTTACTCCGATCTACGGCGCAATTCTGTGTTCGGTATTCGGTCTCTCAGGGTTAATCCCAACATGGACCGTTCCATTGCCCTCTGTGTTGTTCGAATTTTGTTTGCGGACGTCTTAGTAAGTGTTAGCGTCTCCACACCATAGGTTAGAACCGGCAGCACACATTGATCGAAGACTTTTCTCTTCAAGCAGATGGGAAGAGCTGATTGGAAAACATCTCTTAGCTTTCCATAAGCTGCCCATGTCAACAATATTCTACGTATTAGTTCATTGGTCTGGTTATCTCTACTTAAGCGAATTTCGTGTCCCAGATATTTGTATGCTGATGTTTGTTCTATACTTGTTCCAGCTATGTTGATGTTCTCACTCAGAACAAGGTTTGTCATCACTTGTGTTTTTGAGTTATTGATCTTTAAACCCACTTGTGTAGAGGCATGGTAGAGTCTTTCGCACATTTCGATGGCATGATCTATGCGGTCTGTTATCAGGACTATATCGTCCGCGAACCTGAGGTGACTAAGCTGCTCTCCATTTATGTTTATGCCCTTTTCGTCTAGGTTTGCACGCTTACACATGTATTCCAATAATGTTGTAAACAGTTTTGGTGAAATGGTGTCGCCCTGGCGAACTCCACGATGAATGTTGAACTTGTGTGTATCTTCATGGAGTCTGACGCATGCCGTGGCATTATCATAGATATTTTTGATGACAGTCGTGTAGCGGTGATCTATTCGGCACTCTTTTAAAGCTTCTAGCATTTTCTGGTGGTTTACTGTGTCGAATGCTTTACATTTTTCGATGAGGCTTTTAATAGCTTGTAGATGGTCGTTTGTGCCGAAGCCTGACCTGAATCCTGCCTGTTCGCATGATTGGTAAAAGTCCATTTTGTTCGAAAGTCTGTTTGTTATGACTTTTGTAAAAAACTTGTATATGTGTGAGATGAGGCTGATTGGTCTATAGTTTACGAGATTTGTTAAATCTCCTTTCTTAAACATTAGAATGATCACTGCATTTTGCCATTGTGATGGTGTTGTTCCTCTTTCAAGGAATTCTGTGAAAAGTATGGAAAGCATTTGTATCAGTTTCTCGCCTCCTAATTTTATAACTTCGGCAACGACCCCGTCGTCGCCAGGTGACTTGTTATTTTTCATTTGTAGGAGAGCTTTTTTGATTTCATCAACAGTAACATCTGGTATGTCTTCCGAGCCCTGGTTTAGAACCTTTGGTATGTTGTCAGTTGGAACATTTTCTTCTGTTTTGCTGTAGAGTTCGCTGTAAAATTGTCCGACAGTTTGTAGAATTTCCTGTTTTTCTGTTATTATTTCGCCCTTTGTGTTTTTTAGTTTGTAAATATTTTCTTTCCTATTTGCTGTTTCCTTCTGAAGAATTTGAAACTTTTGTTCTCTTCTATGACTTTTGATATCTCTCTGGTGTTGTAGTCTCTTATATCTTTTCTGATGTTCTTAGTGATTTGTTTGTTTAGTTGTCTCATTTTTGTTAGATTGGTTCTGTATTTATCTCTTAGTTGTCTTCTTCCCTCTAATAGAGTTTTCGTGCTTAGACTTAGTTTTTCTTCGTCTTTTTGGTTTTTTGGGCAACATTTTTCTTGTGCTTGTTTAAGAGCTTTGACTATTTTCTGGTTTAGTTGTTCGATATTTATGTTTTCTGTTTCTTCGTTTTGTAATTTTTCTTCGACCGTACGTTCAAACAGTTTTGCATTTTCAGGTGGTACCCATCTTCTAACAATTGGTTTAGGAACATCTTATGGTCGCTGCCAGCAGAGAACTTGTTGAGTACTTCCACGTCTTGTATTATATATTTTTTATCTGTAATTATAAAGTCGATTTCGTTTTTGACGGCGCCTTCAGGGCTTATCCAAGTCCATTTGTTTTGGGGTTTCTTTTTAAAGAAAGAGTTTATTTGAAATATGCATTGATGATGTAGAAAGTTTAAAAGCATGTCCCCTCTTGCGTTTCTTGCCCCGTATCCGTACTTTCCTAACGCGATCTCCGCTTGGTCTTGTTTGAATCCGAGTTTTGCGTTGAAGTCGCCCATGAGAACAGTATAGTGTGTTCGTGTTCTTTGTTGTGCCTCTGCTACATCCTCATAGAATTTTTCAACTTCTTCATCTGTGTGTCCAGTTGTCGGGGCGTAGACCTGTATAACTTTTAAACTATAACGAGAGTTTAGTTTTAATATCAATAGGATGACTCTCGTGCTTATGGTCTCGATTTTCGTTATGTTGGGTATGTGTTTTTTATGTACAATGATCCCGATTCCACCACTGGATGAATGTTCCTCTCCTCTGTAGTGGAACAGGTGTCCTGATTTCAATGTTTGTTGTTCTTCTCCTCTCCTTGTAATTTCACTAAGTCCCATTACATCCCATTTTATTGTTTTTAATTCGTCTTCCAGTTCTATTAGTTTATGATCGGTTGAGAGGGTTCTTATATTATAGGATGCAAGATGCAGTATTCTTGTGCAGTTTAGCCGTCTTGAGTGGTCTTCTGGTCCATCCCGGGTATTCTTAGCACCCTCTGCTCTTAATCTTTTCTGTCCGCTACCTTGGTCAGAGATTTTTGAGCTGCCGGGACTGAGGGCCGTGTTTGGTTTGTGTTTTGCATGTTTACGGGGGGTTTGGCCTTAAAACGCCACGCTGGCCAGACGTGTTGGCGAGTTGGGGGAGGATATAGGGAAGGAATTTGGGGTTTGGGTAGGATAATATTGGGGTTTGGGCCTGGTTTCCCCTAAGTAGGGAGTAGAGGAAAACCAGGAGCTCGCGTGGGCAGGGGCGCTACCTCCCTGAAGTAAGTCTACCCTCTATCGGGATCATAGAGGGGTACCTACCCGCTACAGCGTACCTACCCGCTACAGCCAATAATATCACAATAATTCAGTACTTAGATAAAAATACAAATAAACGGGTGTATACCCACAAACTAAGAATAATTATAAGGCAAACATTTTCATCATATATCTGGAATTTATCTCACTAATGATTACTAATTGTGGACAGAAATGAAATTAAACGACCAATATTATCAATTTTAAAACCAGACAGAAGCTGAGCATGGTCAAACAATAACTAAATGAATCTATTTACAGAATATTTGTAACAGTTTTAACATCACACTACAATAAAAAATAACGAAGATGAAGTCTAAGTCTTTCTAAGCAACACCTTATAATTATCACTACTGTTATGTTAGCTGCCGGTCACTGACCTGTAACCATAGACCAAAACCAAAAATGGGGTATCATCGGCCTCAGCAAAATAAGATGAAGGGGAGAAATTAAAATTACACGTATTTCATTTTAGAGGAGAAGAAGACACTTCAAATTGTGGAGTGGGATTCATTACACATAGAAAGCACACACCGTGCGACAGATAAAACTGACGCCAAGCAGTCCGTGCATATTTGTTTAATGGGCCGGGTTTATTGACCACGTGACCTTCTCATTAGTTATTTAGGTCACGTGGTCGATAAACCTGGCAAATTAGAAAGATATGCAGTCCCTGCATCTCTTTCTGCATACGTCAGTTTTCTCTGTCTCGCACTGGGGAAAAGAGCTGGAATGGCAACGATCAATCTATCTTGTATTATATATCTATGCGTGTGCTTTACACTCTATAACCTAGTCTCCAGTTCAAGTCTCTTGTTTCCATTTCTTTTATGTCGGTCCTGACGGCATCAAACTACTGTGCTTTGATTTTCTTCCTTTTTTTCGTCTCTTATAAATCTCCATTAGCTCCTGGTTTGTTCTTATGTGCCATTTTCATTGATATCTTTCTGATATGACATGTCAAATCTTTCCATGTCAAATCAAAAACCGTAAAACCCATCCCCAGGTATTAATTTGGCCCTCCGCTTTTAAGAGTAGGGGAGAGGTAGGTACAGTGAAACGGTCGGAACACTGAGAAAAACAAAGTTCGCTTTTATCCGGTTGAACTAAACAAATATGACTAT